GAGGCCTGGCATTGGGTTTTGTTGCTTCTGTTATTCTAAAATCGGTTTCTGCTCACCCTGCTTGACAATATTTTCTGAGATCTCACCCAGGAGTGAGGTAATTATTATTAAGTTATTAAATTATTAGTAAAAATATTATTAAACTATTCGTAAAATTAATATTAAATTATTAGTAAAATTATTAGTAAAATATAGTAAAAATTCCTACCACCAGAGGTTTGATGKGGGGCTGCAGACCAAAATACATTTCATTTTTTTCCCAAGTTTGAGGCCACCAAAAGGTGGCAATTAAATTCCTAACGGGAAAGGGAYGTTTTACTGTAATTTGGAACAAAAAAATAAAACAAATAAAAGGCTGGATGTGGCAGCTCCCTGCCTGAGGGGCTTCACAGGAGGTTACACAACTGCTCCCAATTCCTGGGGTGTGCCCACACCTCTCTCGAGCTGTCAGCCCGATTTTCCAGCTGGAAACAACAGCAGAACAGAGCAGGGAACAGCACCTCAGGAGGGATTGTTCCCCCTGGGATGGGGATTCCAGGGACAGGCTGGGCTGGGCTCTGCAGCTACACCAGAATTTAATAATAAATAAAAGCACCGYGATCCCCACGAATGGAGAAATCATGGAATGAGGCTGGAAATGGGAAAATGGCCCTTTTTCTCTCCCTCAGCACTGGGTGAGCTTTCACTGCTCAGCTGATGAGCAGATTTTGGAGCTGCACCCCAAAGTGCCACCCCTGCCAGTGGCACAGCCTGTCCAGGGCACAGAATGGGCATGGGGAGGGTGGCAGCAGGGACACACTCACAAATTCAGCAGGGATCTGCAGGACCAGGCAGGTGATCCTTTGATCGTGCAAAGAAACCCCTTTCAGCCACATTTATTTCACCTCAATCCCAACAGACCCCAGAGTACAGATTCTATAAAGAAGGAGAGCCCAAGAGGGTGAAAAGCAAAAAGAAAGACAGAAATGATCCCTCCAGGACCAGGCAGGTGATCCTTTGATCGTGCACAGAAACCACTTTCAGCCACATTTATTTCACCTCCAATCCTAACAGACCCCAGAGCACAAGTTCTGTAAGGAGGGAGAGCCCAACAGGGTGAAAAGAGAAAAAAAAGACACAAAATACTCAGAAATGATCCCTCCAGGACCAGGCAGGTGATCCTTTGATCGTGCACAGAAACCACTTTCAGCCACATTTATTTCACCTCAATCCCAACAGACCCCAAAGCCTGAGGTTCTATAAGGAAGGAGAGCCCAACAGGGCAAAAAGAGGAAAAAAAAGACACAAAATACTCAGAAATGATCCCTCCTGGCCCAGGAGAACAATTCCTTTGTGGTGCAAACATTTCACCCTGAGAGAGGTGAAATTCCTGAGAAGGAATTTCAGTTCTGCCCCAGCTGGAGAAGGGAAAGTTGAGATAAACTGAGATAAACACATCCAAACATCTCCAGAGGGTGGCAGAGGATGGTGAGGTGAGGAAGAACTTCCCCAGAGCTCTGGGACAGCTGCCCAGGGAGTTTCCTTCTCTGAGGACATCCCAAACCCATCTGGACACATTCCTGTGTCACCCTACCTGGGCAGGGRGCTGGACTGGGTGGTCTCCAACCCAAATAATTCTGGGATTCTRTGAAATAAACACAGATTTTTTCCTAAAATCCACGGAATGAGGCTCCTTTCTCCCTTTCCCTCCAGATGGAAGCAGAGCTGGTGGCTCCTCACCCTTCCCTCAGCCCAAAATCATTTCTGAGACACCAAAATTCACAGTTTCAAGAAGCACCCCAAGATCATTTTGGAGGGACACCAAAATTTACAGTTTCAAGAAGCACCCCAAGATCATTTTGGAGGGACACCAAAATTTACAGTTTCAAGAAGCACCCCAAGATCATTTCTGAGACACCAAGATTTAGTCTCAAGAAGCACCCCAAGATCATTTCCGAGACACCAAGAGTTACAGTTTCAAACAGGCAATTTTGGAGCAGCTCCTCCCAAAACACAGAGTCCTTGGTTCCACTGAATAAATCTCTCTGACAGCCAAACAATAACTCTGCCTCTCCTTTTAGAGCTCAACCCCGAACCCGGCAGACTCCGTAACTCTCCACACTCCTGCGATTCCCTGAGGTGCTTCCAAGATGATCACTGTCAGAGGCACAGAGTCTATAAAAAGGATGGAGGGAGCTGGGAAATTTCCACGGAGGTGGTGCTGGCAGAAGGGAAGGAGATTTTTTGCCATYCTTCAGTGAAAAGGGCTGGAATTGCGGCAGCGCGGTCCGAGAGCTCCCCCAGCTGAGCTCTGCCACGGCTGCATCGCTCCCAAAACTGCAAAAATACCTGGAAAGTTCCAGATCTGCTCCCARGGGAGTGGGGTTTGCTCTTTGAAGCTTGTTCAGAGGGTTGGAGAGCTCCTTGAGAGGAGCTGTCACAGTGGAGAATGAGGAAGGGATTATTTGGGATGGGGAACTCGTGCCTGATGCTGGAGGGATGAGCAGGGATGTCCTGTGGCACCCTGGCACTGCCCAGTGTCACACACTGTCACCTACCCAGGGCAGCTCCAGTGAGAGGGAAAACCTGCTCTAAACACTTCCTGTCCTCCAAACCCTCCTTTCCCCCAGCTCAAGAAAACAAGGGACTGCCACAAACATGGGATGGCTGGAGAACGGATGGAACAACCCACGGCAAAGATCAGATCAGCTGCTCCCACAGCTCCTGGGGCAGCCCCCAGTCCTGGGCTGGGGTCCCTGAGTTCCTGCTGGGGTCCTTGAATTCCTTTTGGGGTCCCTGAGTTCCTGCTACGACACTGCTGGGGTTCCTGAGTTCCTCTGGAGTCCTCTGAGCTCCTCCTGGGGTCCCTGAGCTCCTCCTGGGACTCTGCTGGGGTCCCTGAGTTCCTGCTGGGGTCCTTGAATTCCTCTTGGGGTCCCTGAGTTCCTCTGGAGTCCCTGAGATCCTTCTGGGGTCCATGAGCTCCTCTTGGGGTCTCTGAGCTCCTGCTGGGACTCTGCTGGGGTCCCTGGGTTCCTTTAGGGGTCCCTGAGTTCCTCCTGGCGTCCCTGAGCTCCTCCTGGGGTTCCCAAGTTTCTGTTGGGGTCTTTGAGATCCTCCAGGGGCCCCTGAGTTCCTGTTGGGGTCCCTGAACTCCTCTGGAGTCCCTGAGCTCCTCCTGGAATCCTCAAGTTCCTCCTGGGGTCCCTAAATTCCTGCTGGGGTCACTGAGCTCCTCCTGGGGTCCCTGGGTTCCTGCTGGGGTCCCCAAGTTCCTTTTGGGGTCTCTGAGTTCCTGCTGGGGTCCCTCAGTTCTTCTTGGGGTCCCTGAGCTCCTCCTGGGGTCCCCAAGTTCCTCAAGCAAAGGGGATGAGCAGCTTCTCGTGGGCTGTGGCACCATCTGCTGGAGATGGGATCAGGAAAAGGGAACGGAATGAACGGATTCCAGGTGGGATCCAAAGTGAATCACGGAATATCCTGAGCTGGGAGGGACCCACAGGTCACCCCAAAAATCCCACCCTGTCCAAAGGCTCCCGGAGCTCTGGCAGCCTCAGGGCTGTTCCCATTCCCTGGGCAGTGCCCAGCACTCTCTGGGTGAGGAACCTTCCTTGAGAGCAATCACATCCCAGGCACAACCCAGAAATACATTTTTTAGAGCTCCACCTCAGAGAATCACCAGAGATTCTGCAAATTCCTCATGCCTGTGTCTCACACAGCAACCCCAAGGATGGGGAAAGTCGAGAAACAGATCTCAAGGTGCTGGAAAGATTCTCAAAACTCAAATCCACACTCCACAGACTCAGCCCAAYCCTCCACCCCTTCCAGACCTGCAAAGAGCCGTTCATTTACAGCCTCCTGGGGGTTTTTATGWGCCACAGGCACCAAGAGCTGGAGCCATCGGAGTCCCCAGGGTGCCATCACCCTGAGAGGGGGAGGATCCTGTCTGTCACCACCAGGGCACGGTGACAGCAGCATCCCRGTGACATTTCAGCTCTCATCTGCACGCAAATGTCAATATTTATTAGTCACATCAAGATCTTCAGCAAAGCTCCCCTGGGTCGCTGARTCTCTGCTTTTATACTTTTAAATCACTTGAAAAAAGAAGAATATTGGCTCTGGGTAACTTATTCCAGGCTTGCTATGTTCTTTATTTCATCCCTAAACTACAGACTGCTTTTGTGGGAAGTWATTTCCAACTGGTCTGTGCATCAAAAGTGTTGAAAAACACTTTGCCATCGTGACCATGGAAAAGTAACCTTTTAACTTGGYCTGTCCCTGGAGCTGTGAACATATTTATGTATCTAAATCATGGAAATGTAAAAGGAACAGATGTTTCCTGTGCAAGAACAACAGTGTTTTGCTGTTACAGAGCACTGAAACATCACAAAGTCCCATCCCCGTTTGCAAAAATCCCCCAAAGTGTCAAAATCTGGTTTTAATTGTGATGTCAACGTGATTCTCTAACCCTGCTGAAAGTCAGGAACCAGGCAGCATGAAAGGAAGTGAAAATGCTTGGAGGAGAGGAGAGAAACAAAATGGGAATGGAGAGATTTGGGTAAACTGGAATTTGGGAGAGCTGAGGAAAGAATATTTCAGTGCTTCCAACTTACCAGGATTTGGGCTCCCCAAAATGCAGGTAGTTGATGCTGTAGAGATCCATGTCCTCTGTGTGCCAGGCAAAAGTGGTTTTCCACATCCCAAAGTAGAGGTAGGGAGTGTTCACACCCTCGATGATGATGCCACACTCGTGCTCCACCATGTCCAGCAGGGTGTTCAGATTCCCAATGTTCCACTCATCCACRTCCTGCAATCCCACACAAAGGGTTTCATTTAATTTAAATTAAATTAAATTAATTTAATTTAATTTAAACTAGGAAGGTTTGTTCCATGTTCCTCTCTGAGCTCAGGTGGTAAGGAGCTCCAGCACTCTGAGGAGGCTTTTGCACTGTGGTTCTACTCAATAAATATCTCCCATAATAATATAATTATATATATAATATTTTAATTATCTTGATAACAACTTTAAATCACACTTTTCCTCGTTTTTCTAGTAAAAGTCAGCTTTCCACAGCTCCCATGGACTCCATTATCCTGAACTTCTGGGGAAAGTGGGAAGTTTAGTCCCACTTCTATAATGAGAGGGAAAAAAAACCCAAAGGTATTGAGGTTTTTTTAGGGTGGTTACATCACTGAAATTACTGTATTTAATTAATAATTCTGAATTAATGCTCCTTAATGAGAAAAGTGCAATGAGGAAGCCTGTGTCCATATCTAAAATAAACAAAGAAGTGTTTCACTTACTGCATCATACAGAGAGCCGCTGATATCGGCCCCATAAATGGGAGACACAAAGGTCAGGTTCTTCCAATATTTCCGCTCCAGGTCTTCAAAATCCTGGTGGCGAGGGGTGCAATACCTGCCAAAAAACACAGGGATGTGAGGAACCCTCAGAAGGACCCAATAAAGGTGAAAAAGTGAAGAAGTGAAAAATTGGGGAGCCTGTTCAGCGCCCACCACCCTCAGGGTGGGGGAAGAATCTTTCCCTGACAGCAGCCACATCCTATCATAATCCAGAATAGATTTCTGCAGCTCAGCTTTGTTTAAGTGAAAAAATGAAACTGAAAAAGGGGAAAAGCCTGGAAAACTCCAGGATCTGGGAATTGCTGCTGGCACATCCCTGCTCACCAAAAGGCTCTCCAGAGCCCCAGCCACTCTGGGACACACCAATATCAGCCCAAGCACCTCAAGGTGTTTGTGTTTCTACCCCAGCAATGTCCAGAACAGCCAAGAGATCCCTTTTTGATCCCAAGCCATTCTTTTCAGGAAGATTCTCAGCCCAACACTGACCTGGGACAATCTTTCCACACCAACTCCCAGACAAAGATCCGACACACACCAAAAGCKTTACAAACTCATTCGAGACTCAACAAAAAGCTGTTTCCTCCAAAATGCCWCAAATTTAACGTGGCTGCACTTTCTTTTTAGCTCATTTTTGGACAGAAAAGCTCCCCATAAACCTTTTCATGCCCAGTTGGAAGCCCAGCCCTGTCACCCACGCACTTCTCGCTGTTGGCCAGGCGCCGGTACTCGCCCACGGTCATGGGTTTTTTCTGGATGTTGTACTGGGTGAAGAGSCCAGACTGGCCCGTGACCACCTGCTGGATGGGGGCTGGGATCACCATGTCATCAATGTCATCGTACGTCCGCCGTGGTTTCCACTCCTTGGGAGGGATCACCTGCAATTGGGGAGCAACACTTTAAGATTTAATTTCTCCATTTCCGTAACTCTGGAATTCTCCAGTGTTTAACTYCACAGTGCTGAGCTCCTGCTCTCCCATTTTSACACAAAACAAYTCCTCTGCAGCCCCAAACTCAAGGACACCTCCCTGGGCCAGGCCCCAAGAGATGGAAWKAACAGAGAATTGGGGGGAGCCAAGTTGGAGTTTTTGACTGCATTGGCTGCAGCTGCAATTGGAGGATTCAGCAAATCCCGATGTGCAAATGGACAAAAGTGAGAAAGGGTGAAAAACCCGTGAGCCATTGTCCATTGTGGGTGTGGGACTGCCCTGGATGGCCCTGAAGGCCCTGCAATAACAGAACTGCTTTGGATTCTCTCAATTCTCTCCAGTTTCTGATTTAGATAAACCCAGATTTTTTGGCATCAGTGGAACCCAGCCCAGAGCATCACCCAGGGACCCCCCAGCTCTGCCTTCCCCTCCCCTGAAAGGAACAGAAAAACCAAGATCTGATCACAGAATCTGATACCTGAAGGCCCTGCAATAACAGAACTGCTTTTTATTCTCTGATTTTTGTTCAGCCTCTGCTTTAGGTAAGCCCTGTTTCCTGCATCAGGAGAAGAAAAAATATGGCATTTGTTAGAGAAACTGGAGGCCGAGTTGGGGGTTTGGTGGGCAGGTGTTGGGATTAATTTCATTGTTTRGGAAAGGTTTGAGTTGTGGGTTATGTGATTAGGGATGTAGGTTGTGATTGATAGGATTTTTGGGGTGGTTTTGTTTGGTTTTGTGTGCTAGGTTGCAATTGGTTAAGTAGAGTTCATAAATATTGTTTAATTAGAAATGTGATTGGATAAGAAATTTTGTGGATGGTGGCTTTGTGAGGTGGATAGTTAATGAGTGTTTAAGAAAATAAAACTATCAAAAAACGTAACTTTTAAAAATAAAAAGAAGAAAAAATTCTTTGAATCAACCAACAAAAGTCCATATCATCTATTCCCCATTATCACAAATAACTACCCACATTAAAACACATCAAACAAAAAATCAAAAGACACCCAGCCMCAGGCAGGGCTCCTCCAGGGCAGGATGGGCTCTGAGCTGCAGTTGGAACAGAGACACAAAACCAACCTGGGATGCTCAGATTAATCCTACAGGTAAAATAATTTTTTTTACAGAAAAAAAATCCCCAACAAGCTCTATTAAAATAATCTCCCTAGCAGAGTCCTGGGAGGTAATTGCTTGTACACTTGAGTGGACAAGGAAACATTGCAGGGAGAGCTCTTTATTAAAAGCCAGCTCTCTTCAGAGCTGCAATAAACCCCATAATTGACCTATGTTTTAGAAAAAAATCAGAATTATTTCATCCTAACAGCTTTATTTCTCCGCTGTGCTTTATTAAGTCCAGCTAAATACCACTCCTAACTCCTCCTTGTCAGCACAAATGATCTCACCAGCCATGTTTGTGACTTGGCCACAGAAATATCATTTCTCATCACTCAGTCCTGGGTTTTTTTTCAAGCAGTTCTGGGATTTAGAAGCTCCAAATGAGAATTTCTGATAAGCAGAGGGTGCTGGGGCACTGCCCAGGCTCTCCAGGGAATGYTCCTGGCTCCAGSAGAGTTTGGGCAGCACTGCCCARGGTGGGATTTTTGGGGTGTCTGGCCAGGGCTGGGGTTGGATTGATAACCCCCATGGGTCCCTCCCAAATCAGCACATTCCATAATTCCACAAAAAAATCCTTTCCTCCCTCCATAACCCAAACAGAAATTCCAGATAGGATTTTCCAAACTCCCCAAACGGCTCCAGAATTTTGGGATCTCCAGCTCACCTTGGCCAGCCCTGCCCGGTGAGCTCCCTGGGACTCCATGTAGGCAATGAACTTCCCAAAATCCCGAAATTCCTCCAGAGTGGGTCGGAAGGTCATGATCTTGCAGCCAGGGTTCTGCGGGCTCGGGTTTTCCGACCCCATAGTTCCAGTCCGGCGGCTGCACAAGGGAAAAGGAGGAAAAAGGGAAGAAAAAAGATGCTGGTTAAAATTTTTGGAGTTTAACACCYAAATTTAATGAGTTTTGCAGAAAGCCTGGAGAGATTTTGGGGTTTTCTCCCTCTATCCCATAAGGGGGGATTTGTAGGATTCTCCACTGAGGTGGAAATGAGGAGTTTCTGAGYAAAAATCCTCTTAGTCAGGAACTCCTGATCATCAGAGAGATCAGACAGGGGCTAAATACAGACCGTGGGCTTCACATCTCCCCCAGTTCATCACAAAAAGCAGTTTCATCAGGATGRAGCCACAAAAATAACAACTTCTCACCACCTTCAGCACCGTCAGGGTGTAGAACTTGCCACCCCACAAGTTTTCCACCAAAATCCTCCATCATTTTCTGTTTAGGTTCAAACCCGACAGCTTTTCCCAATGTTTGGAGCTTTTTTTCAYGTGCTAAATGACATTAAAATTATAAAATTGAGTGTTTTTTTTTAAATGTGGCTTCATTTTACTTTTTATTTTCAATGTACATAAATAAAACAAAGTGTCAGATAAAASTTACAAGAAATACAGATGCAAGATCTCAAAACACTTTTCAGCAGGAAAAGCCAAATTGTTGTTTACTTTTTTTTTTTTTAATTTTAAAAAGAAACTTTTTTAAGGTTATACTGAAAATCTGTAAAGGGAAATAAAATGTTTGAGAGGCATTTCAGGGCAAATATCACCACGAGGGTGGGAGAAGCAGCTGCAGCAGCTCCCACATCCCAAACGCTCACGAGATGGCAGTGCTGGGCTGTGAAAGGATAAAAATGGGACTTTGAAATCYGAGCAAAGCATTTGTGCATTTAAACTCATTTCCAAACCAGCCAAGCAGCGCTCCAGACGCTCCTGGAACTCGTAAAGTTAGGAAAAAAAATAAAATAAAAATAAAATAAAGCAGAAAATGCTCCCAGCTTCTGGAATTACAGCATCACACATTAATGTGGATGGATTTCACACACCCAGGGCACCAGGGTTTGGTTGTTATTTTTCATTTCAAAGGCACATGAATGGTTTTGAGTGAAATTTTAGACACCACAAAGCGTTAGAATTTTACAGAGGAACTTTTATGGAAATTTGTTTCAAAGCAATGATCTGCAAATCTTCCCCGAGGAGTCTTTAAAGGAATTTTGTGCATAAAATCACAGCCTCTCGCAGTCAGAAAAAGCCCTTCCCAAGCCAGGAACCCCCAGTCCAGAATAAAATCAAATTATGAGCCCCAGTATTGCAGGAAATCCCAGAGCAAAACCCACTGAGGGAGAAAAGTATCATTTCACCCCAACAGATATTTCCAATTTCCAACAGGAATTGTTGCAGTTTGGAAACAAAAAAACCCCTTTAACAAATCCCCTCCATCTCCAGTGTGGCCCTGCCCATGGAAATTGCCAAACAGGGAATAAAAAATTGCCTTTGGAGAATAAAAATTGCTGTTTTGGGGTCAGGAGAAGCAGCAGATTGATCCATGCCCACGGGAACCATCTCCTACACAAATGTTTTGTGGGAATCCAAAAAGGGAACGGCATCTCTGAGCCCTGGGGTGAACCACGGGACTTTGGGATCCATCTGCCASGGGTTTCCCCMAAATCCCCAAAATTTTATCCCAAAAACAGGGCTGAGCTGAGGATGAGGAGGGGGAAAAGCAGGACATGGAGAGAAATCATCCCAAAAATGCTGTCCCAACCCCAAATTCCTGGGAATTCTCGGTGCTGTTTGGAGCAGGAGGGAGMGGGGAGCCCCGGCAGGATCCTGGCTCGGGAAAGGAGCCTGAATTCCGTCCCCAGGATGAGCCCTGCCAGCACCATCTGCTCAGAGAGGCCTTCCCAGGATTTGCAGCTTTACCCACAACCGGGGGGAAAAACAAACAGCCMAAGCCAGCCTTTAATCCTGGCTTTTTTTCCCCAAAATTATCTCCAAAAAGTCCGATTTTTAGTCGATAAACTCAGAGAAGAGTGAAAATCCGTACACCACTAAGGGAGGAAGATCAAAAACTACTCCATGCAATGCTTAATCAATTAATTAAAGGGTAAAACTACATSCTGCAAAGCTTAATTAATTAATTAAAAGGTCTACTGCCTCAATACAAGCRGCATCACCTGGCACTCTGGAATTCYGTGGYGCAGAGACAGCAAAGCACAAGATTTTTCCATAAAGAATATTCCAACACCTACCCCAGGTAATGCCCATTTTTAAATTAATGAATTTGATGTGTTTTGGAAAAGCAGAGTCAGGATTCACCCCCAGCCCTGGGAACACACAGGACACGAGGGCAAAACAGAGGGATGAGCGGCTGCAGCTCCACTGAGGATTTTCAGGGGATGGCCTCAATTAAAGAGAGCCCTAAYGAGCTCCCAGCATCACTGAGAAAGATTCCACAGCAGAACCCGAGTGTTCTGAGAACACTGAGAGCCCCTTTCAGTGCTGCAGTGAGGGTGAGATGGGAACAAACCCTTCTCTCAGTACTGAAAAGGAGAATTCTGCACTCCGAGCCCCCATTAGCTCCTGAAAAGAAGAGTGAAGGTATTTTTCTCAGCTGGATCCATTCTGTTTCTTTGTGAGAGACTAACAGCCTGAAATATTATGAAAACCTTCTAATTTCCAACCATTGTGAGGAAGCACTAAAAACCTGTCTCCAGAGGGACGATCCTGGTGCACACAAAGAGTTTTAATTTCAACGACTTTTACACGAGGCTTTCCCCTTCCCAAACTGAGACACTTTGACGACTGAAATCCTGCASCTGAAACCTTTTTAAGCAGAGAAAAAAAGTCCAAAACACCCAGCTGAGATCAGTGAGTCGAGCTTTGCTGAAGGACTGACAGAACTGGGAATTTTTTCCTCCAGGGAAAAGTTTAGGATTTCCAAGCRGTTCCCCGCTGCTGCCCCGCTATGGATCCTGGCAGAGCAGGAAATGTCAGGAATTTTGCTCCTGTCAGGAATTAGGGGTGACTTTGACTAAAACAGAACCCATCAGAGGGAACAAATGTGCCCTAAGGCAGCAGCTCTGGAGCCCAGTGCTGTCCCAAACTGGTGCTGCTGGTTGGCTGAGAGCATCGATCCGGCCTGGGATGGTGAACCGAGGGCACAGCAGGCACTGTGTTCACACAGAAACACCAAAAAACATCTCTGATTGTCCTAAATATGGGTAATTCTCCATTTTTTCATACCCAGAATGTGTGTAGAGCCTGCTGGAGGAGGTGTAAGAATTGTTCCCGGGTGATGGAGATGCTGCTGCTGTGGGGACAAGGAGCAAAGCCAATCCTGAACCAAAGCACTGCACGAGATTTCCCTTGGAAATGGTAATAAAGGCACAGGGAAATGGCAAATAAAGACATGGAAATGGCAATAAAGACATATGGAAATGGCCATGGACATGTGGAAATGGCAAAAAAGACACGGAAATGGCAATAAAGACACAGGGAAATGGCAACGGACACATGGAAAGGGCAATAAAGACACAGAAATGGCAATAAAGACACAGGGAAATGGCAACGGACACATGGAAAGGGCAATAAAGACACAGAAATGGCCATGGACACGTGGAAAGGGCAAATAAAGACATGGAAATGGCAATAAATACACATGGAAATGGCCATGGACACACAGAAATGGGAAAAAAAGACACGGAAATGGGAATAAAGACACACAGAAATGGGAATAAAGACACACAGAAATGGGAATAAAGACATACAGAAATGGCCATGGACACACAGAAATGGCCACGGRCACACAGAAATGGCAATAAAGACACATGAAAATGGCCATGGGCACACAGAAATGAGAATAAAGACATCCAGGAATGGCCATGGACATGTGGAAATGGCTGTGGACACACAGAAATGGCCATTGACACACGGAAATGGCAAATAAAGACATGGAAATGGGAACAAAGACACACGGAAATGGCAATGGACACACAGAAATGGCAATAAAGACACATGAAAATGGCCATGGGCAGACAGAAATATCCTCCCAGCCATCAATTCTCAAGGATCAGGTCCTATCCAAAGTTTCTTAGCAGAAAACTTTTTTTTTTTGTGTACAAAACATTAAAAGCTACATATATTTAAATATATATTAGTTGTGTGTATTAACTGTATTAAATGCACATAAACTGTAATTCTTATGAGGTTTAAGGATATCTGAGACAACTTTCCTTCCTTCCCCTTTATTCCAAAAAAGATTCCATCATTTAGACAAAATATCAGTTTTAAAGTTTGAAGTTTGCTGTAGTTCAGCCCAGTTTTAAACAACTGTGCAATTAAATGGATTTAAACCAACACCTTTTCCACCAAAATATTTATATATTCRATCCCATTACATTTTTTAACATTCAAACTTTACTGTATTTTGTATTCAAACAAACAGAGTTTTGTGTATCCTCCGTAAAGGCAAAGTAAACATCACAGAGGAAATATTTGGGAAATGGGAGCAGAGACAACATTCCCATCCCAGCACRGGGATGAAGATCTACAATGCTTGGGATTTGACAAATTAAGAGTTATTTTCTATTAAATTTTACACTCCACACGGCTCCTCCACAATCCCAGATCCTCCTGCACTTCAAATCGAGCAGCATATGTGGCTCATTAAAAGAAAATAAAATTTTCCCCCAAAACACCCTCTTTGCTGTASAAGTGCACAGTTACTCACACATTTCTCTAACAGCAAAATTATTTAGTCACAAACAGTATTTAAAAGCAAAAAAAGAAGTGGTTACACTTAAGAGCAATAAATCTGGTTGACATTAAAACAGTTTATTATCGCCTGAGGCGAGGCTGTTAACATGTAATGGTTATTTCTGACTAAATCCAGATCAGAACCTCAAAAACTCACTAATTTTACTGAAGGGGCRAGATAAACTCACCCTAAAACCACACAAATCAGTTCCCAAACCACTGCTGAGGGCTGCAGGAACCTCAGTTTGCTGCATGGCACCAGCTCTCTCTGCTGCATTTTATTATCTACACTGCAAGATTTTAGAAATATTTCAAAATAACTCCAGAA